AATGTAACCTGTTCTCTCGTCAGTTCCAGAAAATGCCGCATTAAGAAACTGTCTTGGAAACATTTTAAAAGCTGCTTATTTAGGCTATTGTTACAAATCTGATTTTTCCAGTTAACATTCAGACTAAAGTTCCCCATGATTATTGCTCTCCTTTTAGCTCAAGCATCCAATCTTTTTTTTATTGTATGCTTTGTCCTATATATCTGGCTACAGTTACAAGGCCTGTAGAGTGTTCTGACTTCTTTCTCTCATTATCCCTTATCTACACCCAAACTGATTCTGCTTCTTGATCTCCTGAACCAAGATCACGTCTCACTCTTGTGTACCTGCCGTCCTTAATTATCACCGCTCCCCGTTCATCTTTATTTGGATTCATTTTCTTCTTGAATATCATTCAACACTCCAAAGCTCGAACCCCAGGTATTCACAATATATTAATGATTTATATGAGGGAACAAAATGCAATATCTCCAAGTCATCATGCAGCCAAGTTTGTGTAATGGTTATTCAGTCATTTACTTCAAAATGTGTGATCAATTAGAATCATAGAATTGCTACAGTGTGGAAGCAGGCACTTCAACCCATTGAATCCACACTGACCCTCCGAACAGTATCCCACCCAGACCCATCCCCTACCCTATCTCTGTCATCCTGCATCTCCCATGGCCAATCCACCTAGCCTGCACATCCCTGGACACCATGAGCAATTTAGCATATCTAATCGACCATAACCTGCACATCTTTGACGGGAGGAAACCAGAGCACCTGGAAGGAAACCCACACAGACACGGGGAGAATGTGCAAACTCCACACAGACGGTTGCCTGAGGGTGGAATCAAACCCGGATCCCTGGCTCCGTAAGGCAGCAATGCAAATCACTGAGCCACCCTCAGCATTCGTAACAAAGTAAATTAATTTACTGTTACTTGACAACAGCCCCTCCGCAAACCACCTTCTGGAAGCAGTGACTGCACTGATGCAGCTCTTCACCACGTCAACCGATCAGCATCACCGCTCTGCTGCCCTCTTCCGGGTACTTGCCTTCGCTTGAACACGGAGGGTGTCTTGATGAAGTCCACGTTCTGGAAGCAGTGATCGTATCCAATCAATGCAGGTCAGCAGCAGTAAATCTATTCTCGGGCCTGTCTGAGTGACTGGGTGGTGAGTGTATCAGAATCGGGTTAAGGCTCAGCCTGGTAATCAAGCTGTTATCAAGCATTTGGAAGAGTACCATGAGGTTTATTGCTGAAAATTGAGGCCTAAGCCATGAGGAAAAGACTGAGGAAAGATGGGCATCTTCACTTTCAGCGAAAGAATTCCAAAGGAGATCATAGACGAAAATATATTATTTAGCACCATTTGTGACTCCCTCCCACACAAATCGCTTTACTGACAATGAATTGGGGGGCTGCTGGCCTAGTGGCATTTTCGCTGGACTGTTAATCTCAAGACCCAGGTAATGTTCTGGAGAACCAGGTTCAAATCCTGCCACGCATGCCCTTTAGGGAAGGAAACTGCCATCTTTACCGTCAGAGAATCCAATGGTCCAAAACAAACGTATCTTTAAGAATTGAATAAAAAAAGGATAAAGAGTTGTTAAACCTTAATCTTACATTCTACTTTCTTCCACATCTGGTTCAAATCCTTTGCATAGTGTTTTGAGCAAAGTGCTGATGTACTGAAAGATGATGCATGCAGTGCCAATATTATGGAGAGAGCTGTCAAACTTCAACTGTGAGAAGTTAACGTGGCTACAGCTGCTGTTATCATGAATTAGACAATAATTCTGTATGATAGACATAAAGCCCCTAGACTCAGCTCTGCAGTTGACTCATTCAGAATGATATGGTTCATTGTGGTTAATGGTCCAATTTCCCTGGGATTGGAAAGCAGGAGAAAATCTAGAATGAATTGCAGAAATTAGTCAAGAATGAACTTTATAAGACTTTGGTTAGGCCGCAATTAGAGTATTGCGTTCAATTCTGGTCACCACATTACAGGGACGATGTGAAGGCTTTGGAGAGGGTGTAGAAGAGGGTTACCAGGGTGCTGCCAGGATTAGAGGATATGAGCTCTAAGGAGAGGCGAGAAAAACATGGGTTGATTTCTCTGAAGTGGCAGAGGCTGAGGCAAAACTTGATAGAAGTCTATAAAATTAAGAGATGTATAGATAGGGTTGACGGTCAGAGTATTTTCCTCAAGCTGAAATGTCTAATACTAAGGGCCATGCATTTAAGGTGAGAGGGGGAAAGTTCAAAGGAGATGTGACGGGCAGGTTTTTTTACACAGAGCGTGGTAGGAGTATGGAATGTGCTGCCAGGGGTGATGGTGGAGGCAGATATGATTAAGGCATTTAAAGGGCTTTTAGATAAACACATGAATATGCAAGGAATGGAGGGATATGAACCAAGGGCGGGCAGAAGGGGTTAGCTTAATTTGGCGTCATGTTCGGCACAACATCATGGGCCAATGGACCCATTCCTGTGCTGTACTGTTCTATGCAAAGACAAAGCTGCTGGAAAAGCTCAGCCGGTCTGGCAGTATCTGTAAGGTAAAAAAACAGAGTTAACGTTTCGGGTCCTGTTCTGAGGAAGGGTCACCGGACTCGAAACGTTAACTCTGTTTTTTTCTTCACAGATGCTGCCAGACCTGATGAGCTTTTCCAGCAACTTTATTTTTGTTCCTGATTTACAGCATCCACAGCTCTTTCGGTTTTTATTCTGTACAGTTCTATGTTCTATGAAACAACACTGTACCAAGTCTTGCTTTTTCAATAAGGCAACCAAACAGCTCATGCAACATTATGTTCTTGATTGCTCCAGTTAGATTTCCTTTTAATCAACCCTGTTCAGACAGATGGCACATCTCTGAGGGCACTCCCACGGTGGCACAACAGACCCCTGTAGAAAGAGAGTTGGACAACCTTAATAAAGACGAGAAAGAATGCACACAGACTTGAAATGGGGAACACATTGATAAGTAATCAGATGCTCTAGTACTGAGCTACTTCCTCACCTGTGCAGCTGTAGTGTTAGAATAAAACAGTCCACAGCACAACACAACATCGGAGATGAAGAACAGGAATGTCATAATCTGAAATACATCTTGTTGTTCTAAAAGTCAGCAATCCTGGTTCCAAACTGTTTAATCACTTTAATTTTGCAGATAGTGAGAAGTATGTGGAACTCTCATTGTGTGTATATGTAGCATATGCAGAACTTTGAGTTGGAGGCAGGAGGGATGTGAAGAGTGAGTGAGAAAATGTAAACTCAGGATCGAGATAACACAGTCAACTTTTCCACTGATATTTTAATCCATGGGCATATGCTGGTATCAAATTTACCCTCTGGTTCTTTCTCCACAGATGCTTCATGATCTGCATCAGTGAAGGGTCTCGGCCCGAACCGTCAGCCTTCCTGCTCCTCTGATGCTGCTCGGCCTGCTGTGTTCATCCAGCTCTCAACTTGTTATTCCAGTATTCCCTGACTGGTTCAGTAATGCCCTTTAGGAAAGGAAACTGCTCTCCTTACCTGAGATAGTAAGAACTGCAGATGCTGGAGAATCCGAGACAACAAGGTGCAGGGCTGGATGAACACAGCAGGCCAAGCAGCATCATAGGAGCAGAGAGGCTGATGTTTCGGGCCTAGACCCTTCATCTTACCTGGTCTGGTCTACAAGTGACTCCAGACCAATGCAATGTGGTTGACTCTCAACTGCCCTCTTAGTAATTAGGGATGGGCAATAAATGCTGGCCTAGCCATCAATGATCACATCCTGTGAATGAATTTTTTAAAAGTTGCTTACTTTCTCAATTTTTGCCTCTTTATAGTCCAAATGTAAGGGATGAAGATCTTAGTGAGCTGGACAGAAATATAGCACCACACAGCTACACTTATTCATACTTTACAGTCACATTTTAGCTTCTACATTTGAGGATCAAATAGCCAATGGCACAGGGAACTGAGGAATAGTGGAAAGGTGAGAGAGAGTTAGAGCCATTTCAAGAATGATTGGACATTGTTTTTTTTTTGCTGGTGTGTACAATTGACACAATGCTTTTCTGTAGAGTTCTCATCATTGACTGACACGATTCGACAGCTGGTTTGGTGAACATGATGTTATGCATCATAAATGACAGGGAAAGGATACCCAGAGTTGAACAGAGGGACACTGCAGTGCAGGCAAATGTTCTAACATTGAGCTACACCTTCCAGCATTGTAGATAGTCATGGGGTCAAATTGGAAAAATGTAGTCGCATAACATAAACAGAGAATTGTTTCACCAAACTGATGCCAGTTTGCTGACTCTTGGTCTACATTCTCGCCTGTGAGTTGATCTGAAATCCGAGGCTTGTTGTTTAGAAGCTTATGACTGTTCAATTCTACTCAGGCACTGCTATGCACTGTCCAATTGCCTACCTTCAATAAGACACAATTTCTTTCTGCTCAGTGGCAACCAATTTAAAGGCAACAACAATTTCCTGTCTCTGTTTCCAGCTTCACTGCTTATCCTCTGCCCAGTTAAATTGAATAACCTTATGTACAATCTCAGTCTACTGTTTGACTATGAGGCTGTCATTCCACTGGAAATGCAGTTAGCGGCCAATGTGCTTTTTATTAGTTTACGGAACGTGGCCTATTGACATCCCTCTCAGGTCCCCAGTTCCGTTCACCCTCTAAAGCTACAAGCCAAAATCCCATCACAGCTGCTTCTCTCAACTGCTGGTCTTTGCAAGTAACTAAGTTCAAGATCCAAGTCTTAACTTTTCTCAAATTATTTCAATGTCCATTGACTGCCTTTTCTGAGTCAGTTCCTCCAAGTGTAGGTCCTGGATTCACCCTCCTGTAAATCACTCCAGTTCTGTTTTGGGCTGGAATTCTGATGGAGTCTGACCAAGGCTTTGAATAACTGAAGCATAAATTCCACTTATTTACATGGAAGTGTCTTAACTGAAAGGTCAATATTGCATTTAACTTCATAATTGCTTTTTGCACTGACACACAAGCTTTTGGTTCAACTGCCATTTGTGAAGCACATACACAAGCCAGCTGTGGTACACAGTGTCCCTATCTGCCTCATGAAGGTTAATCAAGTGCTCATTCTCTTCACTTAGAGACAAGTTATAGGTTTACTGAGGCTAGGATCGAACCCGGGCCCCCACTGCTGTGAGGCAGCAGTGTAGCCCATAGAGCCACCATGCCACTCACATGGCTCAGAATTGCAGTGTTTGTAGATATTTTGCATTCCTGGGTGATACCTGTTAGTCTCATCAACAAATGCATGGAATGTTCCATTGGTTGTCCCTTTATCTCAAACTCACATTACCACAGGGGCCCAATGCTTGCTGTGAAGATCATTTGGAAAATAAGTATTGTCACTGCACCTTAACCTGGTTCCAGTTCGCTGCTATTGCGAGATAGATTCAGTCATTGTGTTGTGCCACTGAAGTAAGAACAATAATAACACAGGCATGAATGTCAGGGAAATTCAGAGACAGCAAACTGACAGTAGTTTTGATTCAAAATTTGAATTCCGTTGTTTCTTTTGATGCATTTGTTGGTATGTGTAACCAGAAGAAAATGTCTGATTTACTGGTTGAGAATCCACTGAAGACGAAATAGTTCCCAGCTCTGATATTGAACCCCATTGCTGACTTGAATTATCAACCGGTAACATTAGATACTTTATGTGCATGAACCTCTACCAAATGACTATATCTCGAAGTCAATCAGCACTATCTTCTATTTCTCCCTCAAATGTTTATCTAACATCAACTGCTCCTTCTCACAGCACACTGAGCATTCTAACTTAGCCACATAGACTGTCAGCGTGTCTACAATGTCTAGAGTTGCATCTAGAAAGATACAGCACAGAAAGAGGTCATTTGGCCCATCATACCATGTTGGGTTCTGTTGTAGAACTGTTGGCATTTTTTAAGGATATAACAAGCAGAATTGATAAAGGGAAACTGGTAGATGTGGTGTATTGGATTTTCAGAAGACATTTGGTAAGATAGCAGATAAATGAGATTGTACAGATAGGATCTCTTGTTATTTGGGATAATGAATTAGCATGGATTGAGCATCAGTGATTGAAGGTCTTGGTACAATTTTTTAAAAAACCTGAACCTCTGGTTCTAGGAAAGTGCATTGACCAGAATGTTGAGGAAAACTCAAGAGATACAAAACGGAGATCCACATGGTGAAGCACGGACAGTATGCTGTTTTTCATCTGTTTTGCTGCAATGAATATTTGTCACAGCCACACTTTGTGCCTGATGCTTCAGAGTTCTGCAGAAAGATTTTTCATTTTTTTAAATTCATTCATGGGTTGAGGGTGTCACTGGCTAGGGCAGTATTTATTGCCCATCCCTAATTGCCCAGAGGGCAGTTAAGAGTCAACCACATTGATGTGGGTCTGGAGTCACATGTAATTCAGACCAGGTCAAGAAGCCAGTTTCCTTCCCTAAAGGACATTAGTGAACCAGGTGGGGTTTTCCTGACATTTAATTTTTGGCCATCATTAGACTTTTAATTCCAGCTTTTTAAAAAATAATTGAATTCAAATTCTACTATATATTCTGCTGTCGTCGGATTCCGATCCAGGTTCACCAGAAGAACATCAGGGGTCTGGATCAACAGTCCAGCGATCTCCATGAGGCCATCATCTCCCCTTATGATAAGTCTTTTAACATTCAACGCAGCCAAAGATGTGATTGCAAAAGTAAAGACTGACTGCTTTATAAGGAGTGAAGAATAAACATGCAGTAGTGTTTCAAATGAAGAGTCAAAAGCAGCTTGACTAAGTGGAAGCCCTTCAGCAGAATGGGACATTTGCTATTATTCAGAAGTATGGGTAGCAAAGCTGGAAGAAACGACACTGTTAGACTATTCTGCACAATCAAAGCATGACAGGAAGTGGTGAAAATAGTAGAGTGCAGAGTGCACTCTACACAAAGAGTGCAGTAGCAATTAGAACCAGAGTAAATAATAATGTTAAAAATGCAATGCTTAAGGTTCTTAATCTGAATGAAGCCAATATTTGTAGCAAGTTAGATGAGTTGATAAGACAAAAGATCTGAGAACTAGGAGCAGGAGTAGGCCATCTGGCCCCTTGAGCCTGCTCCGTCATTCAATAAGACCCAGGCTGATCTTTTTGAGACTCAGCTCCACTTATCCACCCGCTCACCACAACCCTTAATTCCTTTACTGTTCAAAAATCTATCTGTGCCTTAAAAATGTTCAACGAGGTAGCCTCAAGTGCTTCACTGGGCATGGAATTCCACGGATTCACAACCCTTTGGCTGAAGAAGTTCTTCCCCAACTCAGTCCTAAATCTGCTTCCCCTTATTTTGAGGC